CAAAGTTGGGGTGTGGGTGGGGAGGCCCCCGGAGGCGATCGCCACGACTGGGAGTGTGCCAGGAGCCAGCGCCGGGGCAGGCTGGATCGCTCCCCCCACCGCACCCCAACATGGAAGCCTGAGGCCCAACCTTGGGGAACAGCCTGGGGGTGCCAGCTACCTGCTGCTCTGCACACCCAGGGGGACCCGCCCCAACACTGCACATGGGGGGAGCTTTCTCCTCTCATCTCCCTCCCCACAGAGCTCCCCATCGTAAAATAGCAACCCCCACCCCACCCCCAGCAGAGCAGGACTCAGCTTGTGAGCCGGCTGCGCTTGGAGCTGCCCCAGGAAGGGCTCCCTAGGGGTAGCTTCTGCTTCCCCGAAATCCTCGCAACTCTGCTGAAGGTCACCCTCCCCAGCCCGGCCCCTCTGTCCCCGCCTTGGCCTTCCTGGTGCCACAGAGAAGCTAGACTGCGATTCTGGGGTTGCTGTCTAATGGGGTGAAACTCGGCCTGTACCCGCGATGGCCAGGCAGAGCTCAAGTCCACAGGGCAGGCCAATCCCCCGGAAAGCGTGTGCCGCATGTTTACAGATGAGGGACCAGGGTTGACGAGGTTCAGCCACCTGCCCAGAGGCACACATGTTCTCCAGAGAACAGCCAAGCGGCGAGGGGCACCCCCTCCCGGAGGAGGCCCCACTGCACGCTGGCCGGGGTCCCCGCCCGGGACAAGGTGCCCAGCGAGGGAGACCCCGGGAAGGGGCCCCATCAGTGCGTGTGAGACTCGGGAGCTGGCCGGTTCGGTGGCGATGTTTCCATTCTGTCTGCTTCACTTGACAAGCGCGGTGTGCAGACTGTAACTGATGGGCACCTGAGCGGGCGGAGGCGGCGGAAAGTGGCCTGGCGCCAGGAGGAGCCGGGCGGGGAGGAAGGACAGGTGCCAACGGGGTCTGTGCTGCCTCCCTCCCTTCGCTCAGCCCGCCTCTCAGCCCGGCGCCTTCTTCTTCAACCTGCTCTTTGTTTTCTGCGTTCTCTCCTTTCCCTCCATCCCTAATGGTGTCCTCACGGCAGGAATAAGTGGCATGGTGGTGGCGGATGCTGCCTGAGGCCCGTGCGCCCCCTTAGGCCTTGTCACCGAGGGTGGTCCCTCTGACCTCTTTCTGCCAATCAGGCCCTTCTCCGCGGGCCAGGCCAGGCTCAGACACTAATCATAGCTCTTGGCTCCCAGAGCAGATGTCTGCCCACGTCTGTTGAGGGAGCCCCGAGCTCTCCCGCGCTTCCTGTTACCGCCAACCTGAGAGCCAGAGACCCCTCGGTGTGTGGGCCCCTCGGTGTGTGTCTGCATCTTGCGAGCCAGCTCTCTCCCCAGACCCGCTGTTCCAGTCACTCCTCAGCCTCCCTGTCCACCCTCTTCCTTGGACCATCTTCCATCTTCATCCCGTCCCGCAGCCTTGCGCCCTCATCTCCGCTCCTGGGAAAAGGGTTAACCTGGAGCCTGGGTGTAGCCGGGCAGCTCGCACTGCGAGCAGGTTGGTGCCTGCCCAGCGCTTTCCTGAGTGACTTCACACGTCCTGGCACTCGGCGAAGCAGAGCCGCCTGTGCGGGAGGTGGGGGTGTTGAGAAATAGGGCAGATGAGCCTCTTCTATGGAGCCGCAAAGTGCCTGCCCTGTTGATCCTCCATGGCTCAGGGTCAGCGAAGCCAGTTTTGAGGCACTTCCCTTTAGAGGTTTAAAAAAACACACAAAGTCCCAACTAGATCAACAGCCACTTCTAGAAGCAGCGTGGGTGATCCGGAGTGGGCGATTGGCTAGATCTCTGCCTCTCGTTCTCTTTTGGTTTCTTACCCCCACCGTCCCCCCTAGTAAAGCATCCCAGAGAGATGAGGGGGGAGTCCGGTTCTGTGGTCATGGTTGGGGGTACACAGTGTAGCCTTTGGCGATCATGTCCCTGCCGGGCAGTTGGGCTGCTCTTGTCTGTCACCCTGAGAAGGGCCTGGTGCCAGGCAGGCCCACGGCTCATTGGCCCTTTCCACTTGGCTCCATCTTGGGCCAGGAGCCTGAAGAGTTAAGTCTTTAGCTTGTTGCAATGAAATTATGGCTGGCAGTGGCGCCGCTGTTTGTTCAACAGACCTCCACTTTTAAACAGTTCACAAAAAGTTCATGGGGCAGCTACAGATTATAAGTGTGGTGTGTGTGTGTGTGTGTGTGTGTGTGTGTAGTCAGCAGGATCCAACAATGGAAACACTCCCCCCCCCGTCTTTTTTTGCTTCTTCCTCTTCATCCCTGCCCACCCCCCTGCCAGCGTCACCCCTAAACACACACACACACACACACACACACACACACACGACGCTGAATTGTGCGTGTCTGACCGTGTGCGTGTGAGACACCGCATCCTGGCGCCTGGGAAGGACCTCAGGGCTGATGGAGGCAGCCCTTCCCTTCCTCGGCCTTCAGCCAGGTGTCGGGGGTCCTTGTCACCGAGTGGCTACTAAGGAGGTGTGCGGGGAGGGGCTGTGCAAGGGAAGGCCAATTCTGAAGACGGACACCGCAGGTGCACACTTTTCTTCCGCATCCTTTTCTTGGGGGTTTGATTCAGTGACCCTTCAGTGGGGGTGGTGTGGTCCGGTCCCACTGCTTCAGCCAATGGCCACCGTCCACACCAGGCCGCTCACGATGTCTTCCTTTTGTTAAAAGGAGCCTTCGGGACATGCCTGGTGGTGGCCTCCCCCAACTCCATTTGTATATTTGGACCAAAAGCCTATGCGCCTCTGCAGACCCTCAATACCTGAGTCCGACTCTTTTGGGGGTGGGGGGCGTGGCTTGTGGTTTGGAAACTCTCCTGTCGATGAAGAAAGATGCTTCCTGGAGGACTAGCCCCCTCAGGACCCCCGCCAGGCCTGCCACCTTCTGCAGATGGCCTCCGCGTTCCTCCGGCTTCATTGTTGAACGAGGGGCGCGGTGTGCCCACGCCCGTGGCGCTTGGTGAACAGACGGTGTTGTATGTCTAGGGGCTGGTGGGGCTCTGCTGGTGGACAAAGGGCCTAGTTGGGACAAAGAAATGCCCAAGGACAGCCTGGCATTTGGATTCAGGCCTCCCTGGTGCTCCCCACCCCCACCCTCTGCGCCTCTGAAAAGACCCGGACCCGGTGCCTCCATCCCAGGCGACCCGGCAGGCTTTCTGCGCTAAAGTGTAAAAAAACGATCATTTGCATATTTTTTCCTGCTAACAAAGGAAATGTGTCGACTTCGGGAACATTTGGGCTTTCGGAAACTGTGTGGGTGGGTGTGTGAGGGAGAAGGAGGAAGAAAGTTCCCCTGATGGTGTTCGCGTCAGTGGTTCCACGCTCGGGCCTGGGTCCGCCCGGGGGAGAGATGCCGCGCGGCCTGTCCGGCCGAGGGAGCCGGGCTGTGATTGTGATCAGGGAATTGCCCAGGGCCATCGGTCCCAGGCATTAAAGGCTCCCCTACTTATTAACCCAGCATTTAACAGCAGGATATGGGCTGAAGCGCAGTCAAAAGAAACGGCTCAACCTCCGAAGAGCAATTAAAATCCTGCACGAGGATAAATCACGCGCCGTGATAATCCTGTTAATAAAATGCAGCTTGTCCTGACCCTTCACTCATGCAGCAAACTAGAATGTGCTGGGGGTGGGGGCAGGGCTGAGGGGGTAAGGAAGTGGGGGTGGGGAGAGGTGCTCTCCCCCCTCTGGCTGGCAGCCGTCCCCTCCCAGGAGGTGGAAAATGGGTGGCTTTTGGCTGCTCCCAGGGCGCCAGCGGCTTGCAGCCCAGCAGCCTGGGCTGCTAAGACCTGTGCGCTCGCTCGCTAATGATTTGTGTCCCCAGTGAGCAGGCGTCATTGAATTACTCAGCCGCCTCCCCCTGCAGCTCCCAGGCCAAACCACCCAGGTTCGGTGCTTAATCTAATCTAGGGTTGGGGTGCCGTGGGCCACCAGCCCCCCGACTCTTTAACCCTTGAACTGGAAGTTGCACAGCCCCGGAAACTCAGGGCGGCGTGCGCCTCCCTGGCTGCTGTGCCTTCCACCTGCTCTGATGCAGAGGCCGGGGCCCAGGCAGAGGAGGCCAGCCTGCGGGCAGGGAGGGGCTCCGCCCTGGATGGTGTGAGGTGGAGCTTTAACCCTCTCGCCTCCCCGGACCTTGGGGTGTGGTGTGTGCCATCCGCAGCCCCCGGGCACCGTCTGCCTCCCCGGGTCTGCGCTCTGTGGGGATTGCCTAGAAAGAGGGCTTCTCTCGTTTCCTATTTGGCTCTTTAGTCAACCTCCTGGGATTTTGTTTTGTTTTGTTTTAAACAGACTAGACGCTTGAAGAAAAGCTGCCATCCAAGAAGACGACATGCTTTCAGCAACCCCCCTGTATGGGAACGTGCACAGCTGGATGAGCAGCGAACGGGTCCGCATGTGCGGGATCAACGAAGACAGGTGAGTGCCCGCGCCCGGCTGGGAGGGCTGAGAGGTCGGGAAGCTTGCGGGTCTCCCCCCTGCCCCTGAGCGAGCCCAGGCCTCCTCGCTTTCTCACAGCCACGGTGGGCCCCGAAAGGGGTGGGGGAGAAAGATCTGCCTCGCTGGCGGCGCTTGATTTACAGTTTTAACAGGCAACCCAGCTCAGCGAAGCATCGCCGCCCTTTAAAAGATTAGCCCCTAAAGCGGCCTTTCAGTGCACTTTCGTTCTTAATTTATTATTTCATATTTATGAAGGAGAATTAATCCCAGTCTATATGCTGCTTTAACTCGAAATGTCAGGAGTGCGGGCCCAGGTGGATCGGCATTCGATGTGCTTTTAAAACAAATAGTTTGCTCAGTAATAACTGGGGAGAGAGCCACCCTTCACTGCGGTTAAGCCCAGCGTTTCCAGGCGTCCTGTGCGGCCCATTCAGCGTGGCCGTTGGCTCCTGGGTTCAGTCAGCTGACGGCTCTGTTAGCTTCCTAATCGGTGATTTTGGGGCGTGGGGTGAAGACATCTAAGCAGATGATCGAGGCTGGTTTTCGGGGTAATGATGAGCTCCCCTGCTGCTTGTCAGCGGTTTTATCCTGGGGATTTGGGACTTGGCACCAGGCGCTTGCTTTATCGATGCTCCCTGATAACAAGTCCCAGGGCGGCCGCCGCAGCCTGGCACAGACGTGCGGCTTCCTCTGGAGCCGGGAGCAGTTGACATTTGTATGATATTAGTGTTTATCCCTCATCGTTTTGATAAAGGCAATCAAATATGGCTTCATTGTCACCATGGAAACCAGTTTCGGAGGACATGGACCTAACTTTGGGGAAAAGTTTTGAGAGCCTGCCCTCGTGGGTAACACGGAAGTGGTCGATGTGGCCAGTACACTCCGGCCTTCTGTCCCCTGCTTTGGGCTTTGACCAGTGTGCTAATGTCTGTCCTCACGTAGAGCTTATAAGGGTCGTCTAAGACATCAGAGCCCAGATTGGCATCTCGAGAAAAGATTGTGCTGGAGGAATGGCTGGGCTTAATTTTCAGCTGACCCACCTCGGGGTGGGTCATGTTTGTGATCTCCCATCCCTGTTGTCCTGCCTTTGTTTGCCCCAGTCCAGTTAAATCACCACTTGGGGACAACTTGCAGTATGGCCATGGGGGAGGAATGTTTTCTAAGGGCAGTTGAAAAAAAATGGAGTTATTAGGAACTGGTCTTTTCTGGGGGCGATCTGGGAACGATGGCTTAAGCGAGGGATGCTTTCATGAAGTCGGTGTGTCCTTTCACGTAGGAAAATTCCTGTAAATGACGGTGACGCTTCAAAGGCCAGACTGGAACTGAGGGAAGAAAATCCCTTGAACCACAACGTGGTAAGAGATGAATGGCTTCTGTTGATGTGCTATCTGAGTCGCAGTGATCTGTAATCAATCGTGCATTAATTTGCATACCATTAAAGGGCTTGGGTGGGGGTGGAGCCTGGTGTTTCAGGGCAGGGCTCAGTAGGAAGCCGCTGTCTGCCGCAGGACTAGGCCCTCACCTCATCCCTTCCCACCCCGGGTCCGGCCGAGCGCTCCTTTCGACGTGCCCAGGTCCCCTAGCCGGGTGGGAGATGTGCCGCCTTTTCCTCGCTAAGCTGCATGCCACATCAGTGCTCCCGGATGGAGAGATTGCCAGCCTCCAAATAGATCCTTAGGGTTTCCGTTTCCAGTAAAATCTGAAACGCACGAGCTTCTCAGACACCAGGGAGAGGAAGTCAAAAGATGCAACCGCAGTTTGACCCCTGGCCTCTTTATTGATTTAGAAATGAGCCATCTCCAGTCCTCCGCTGAAGATTGTTTCTTGTTATGTTAAATAGCATCCAGGAAAGACCCAGTGAGCACGGCCCCGCCCCCACCCACAGGCCACGGAGGGTTAGTCTGAGTTCTGGACCCTGTGAAGGCGCTACTGAGAGGCGTGGAGTTAGTGTGTGTCCGTGGCGGCCCCGTGTTTTTTTTGCTGAGAAGGTGAATTTCCCAGAGTTAATAGATGACTGATAACGTGTGGGCCGAGAGTCTAAAGGGATCGACATTTTCTGGGCTTTCAGGGTCCCTAGTGGAACTGGCAGCCAAGGGTTCTGGATGAGGGGGGAGGGGGCCGGAGAACCCGCACCCTTTCCTCCTCCCCCCTTTCTGCTCAGATGCTGAGGCGCCTGGTGTGTTACTGAGCAGGTGGCGGTCGGTCTTTGGGACGGTCGGGTGCTTGGGAGGAATGTCTTAGTAACCCCCGTGTTCTTCCGCCAAGGTGGACGCGACCACTGCCCATCGGATCGATGGCCTGACGGCGCTGAGCATGGACCGCACCGGCCTCATTCGGGAAGGGCTGCGGGTCCCGGGCAACATCGTGTATTCCAGCCTGTGCGGGCTGGGCTCCGAGAAAGGCCGGGAGGCCGCCGCCAGCTCCCTCGGCGGTCTCGGGTTTTCTTCCGAAAGAAACCCAGAGGTGCAGTTCAAACCCAACACCCCCGAGACGGTGGAGGCCTCCGCCGTCTCCGGAAAAGCCCCCAATGGCTTCAGTGCCATCTACAAAACGCCACCCGGAATACAAAAAGGCGCGGTGCCCCCCGCAGAGGCGCTGGGCTTGGACCGGCCGGCCGGCGACAAGCAGAGCCCTCTCAACATCAATGGTGCTAGCTACCTGCGGCTGCCCTGGGTCAACCCCTACATGGAGGGGGCCACGCCAGCCATCTACCCTTTCCTGGACTCGCCAAACAAGTACCCCCTGAACATGTACAAGGCCTTGCTACCTCAGCAGTCCTACAGCCTGGCCCAGCCGCTCTACTCCCCGGTCTGCACCAACGGGGAGCGCTTCCTCTACCTGCCGCCGCCCCACTACGTCAGCCCCCACATCCCCTCGTCCCTGGCTTCGCCCATGAGGCTCTCGACGCCTTCGGCCTCCCCGGCCATCCCCCCGCTGGTCCACTGTGCCGACAAGAGCCTGCCCTGGAAGATGGGCGTCAACCCCGGGAGCCCCGTCGATTCCCACGCCTACCCCCACATCCAGAACAGCAAGCAGCCCCGGGTGCCATCCGCCAAGCCGGTCAGCAGCGGCCTGCC